TATCACCTATATAACATGCACTATAACTCTATCATATACCAAGATTCACACTAAGTTTTATCAAATGCAAACTTATTTATCACTTATAGTCAGTAAATAAAAAAAAATATACTAATATCAAATTTTTTCTAAGTCTGTGCTGAAAATTCTATGTAAAAATCAACAATATAACTCAAACTAGACAACAAAATCAATATACATACTAATAAAAATGTCTAATAATTCTCATGTACATGTAACTAACATCACACCTCAACAGCATATACAAATAAATGTTGCGCAAAGTTACAACCTATGTGTTATGGTATAAATGAAGAAAAAAAAAAATTAATCGCACAAATGTTATGCGTGTATGTTATATGCAAGTGTAAATGTGTACGTAAAGTCTCTATATGTAAGGCTTTATCTCACATAAGTGTATGCGTGTATGCACTATAACCAAAAACAACTATTTCATGTGACTAAATCAAATAAATTGCAAACTATTGCAAAGCAGTGTATTGAAAATTCAATTTTAAATTTTCAAACAATCAATCAATGGTAAGTTGTCACAATGTGTATATATATAGAAGATGTGTATGTACTTCCGGTTGACCTTGACCTGTGTTGACCCAATTTGACCTCGAAGGGGGTGGGGGTTGTGGTCCGGTGGTCAAGTATCAATCACAATGTAAAGTAAAAGTGTAAACATACATGTACATATAATCAATCAACACCAAGTGATGTTCAACATGAACCTTCAATGCTTGGCAAGTGTCACCTATTCTAAAGTGTCTCTAATCTTTGTGTAAAAATTCAATAAAGTTACAAATAAAAAATCGTCAAAATTTTCAAAGACAATATTTTCAAATTCTCAATAAATCGCTACTCAATACCAATAGTCATGTGATAAATATACATATGCATCCATTATAAGTGAAAGGTAACTTACAAATACAAGAATAAACACAAAATATCAGGTCCTTTCTTGAACTTGTGCACAAATTTCCATGTGTTGTGTTCGTACTCGAGTACCGGATGTCGAACTGTCAACAATGGCCACACTCGATTACAAATTCTAGAATACGCCGGCCGGAGCTACGGTTTCACTATTTTCTCTTCCTTGGAATATTCCGGTCGGAGCCAACGGATCCTTTTCTATCTTGATGTTTTGTCGTGAATCCTTCACTATCCTCCAAAAACGTGGGCGCCAAAATGTAGTCGCACTATCTGGGGCGTAAATAAATAGTAGACTATGTAGGGTTCTGGATAGTTTGTATTATCGTGAAGCATCAAATGAAACCCTGTAATATAATATCACATTTAATAACAACGTATATAAACTAATTCTTTTAAAATATGTATTATATCAATATGATAAATTTACGTAATCTGTGTACTTACAAAAATTAACCAATTAACTGTAAAATACGTCACAGTTTATGAAGTTAACAAAATGCACAATTAAACCTTATCTTATCAAAATATTACTTCCTGTGACAATCGAAACAGAATTTAACTTGTCAAAAGAGCAAAATAGAAATATAGTTTCTCATTTAGCAATAACATTATAATATACGAATTAGCCGTTAAAACTATAAACAAACAGTCTAAGCAAAATAAGCATTAATAAAGCCAATAGCGAAAAGCAGTTAACTAATAAAGCTAAGCTAAGCTAAACAAAGCAAAATAACTAAGCTAATAAAATAATAAGCAACTACAACTGAAACACTCATTCTTACCTCGTATGAGGTACAAAGGTTATGCCTCAACGTATTACTACATCATATGCAGAACTCTGTCATAAAACCTGTATAACAAATACTAAATTATAGTTACTATGCACAGACTTTTATAGTACTTAAAATCTATTAATCTGAGACAAAAATGTTATAAAGACTCTGAAAAGTATTTGTCAAGTTAACATTTTACTCATTTACTCTCGGACTCATTCTGCTCAAATATTCGCCATTCATTACGTTTATCTTTACACTTATTTATTTCCAGGCTTAAATTATGTAACTCAAATGTAAAATAATAATGTGCCTGTTATAAAAGTTACGTTAACCTTTTAAATAATTTACAACATTCATTCACCAATCAAACGATACACATTCTTACTACGAAGTCATGCTAAAATGGAAAGTTACTCGTGCGTGAAATACTGATTAATCCGGTAATAAAATTACGATGAAAATAAGATATAGACAGAATATCTAAAGAGATAAGTAAGCAAACTGACCTGAAATAATCGTGGAATTCCTCCAATACAAATGATACAAAATATGAAACAGCAAATACAGACTAAAGAAAATATACGAAACGTCTGTTCGGTTTGAACATCAATCCACAATTAACTATAGACTTCAATAGAAATAAACCGCCAAAAGATATATAACCAATGAAATAGTAGAAAGTGTGCGGTCAAATCAAGCGTAAAACACTGACCATCAAAATAGTAGAAGTGAGTAACAATCAAGACGAAACTAGTCGATCGTCAAAGTCTGTGATATAAAATACGAATAGTACAACTCATAATTAATTACAATCCGTAATTAATCTATTTGAAAACGAAAACACAAATATGAATTAGGAATAAAATCATCTTTATTTTAAAGTAAATTCACATAAGAAATAAAATACAAATTACAAAATCATATCAATATTTCTTCAATCATGAATAAATACACGCTAGCACAGTATCTATTTTGTTATGAATGTATTGTACTCTGGCTGATTCTGGCGAATGATGTCCATTTGTTGGCTCTATTTGCTTTAAGTTTGTTTTGGTCGTACAACATTAGGGCAAGGCAATTCATCAGCTTCCTCCTCTCTCTAGTCAGCTACGACATCTGGTTGCCGGGGAGCAGGTCCAGCGACAGCACAGTAAACCGGTTAATGTAAAGAGAAATAGTCGAAATTTAAATTGCATTGTCGCTGAATATCGATTTCAAGTGGAACATCAAATTGGTGAATTAAAAAGAAATAAAAGTAATGAGTACCATTGAGGCATTCGAAGTCAAAATTAACAGACATTGTAGAAACATGTAACGCCCTAGTCAACAGATATAAAACATTGATTAACTAAACATCTACTACAAAAATACAGTTTTTTTTTGTTTTGTTTTTTGTTTTTTTTCATTTTTCAACTCGCTCGACGTCTAAAAGAAATGAAACATTGAATAGCTTCCTTTTCTTCAAAGTCAATTCACAAATAAGTTTAATTTTGATAGGCAAATATTTAATAAACAAAATAAGGTACGGTACACATGCGAATTGGCCCGAGATTTTATTGGACATGGACAATCTGACGGTAGCCACTTTTTGATCAGAACACTTCTAGAGCACATACAGTGACCCTAGTTTTTGGTTATTACTAGTGAATCAGGATCTGCTTACCTTATACGTAGTACCTAAGATCATTCCCAGTGTTTGGTAGGATTTGTGCTGCTCTGTCTTTAGTTTTTCAAGTAGTGTTTTTAATAAAAAAAAAATCGTGGGTATTTTGCCGTTTTTTTTTTTGGGGTGTTGCTTTTGAAATGGCGTTTTTGGTTTGAGTAGACTCGAGAGTTTTGGTATCTTTTACCTCCCTTTGTTCTTTTTTTTTTTGTCTGTCGTACTTCGGTTTTGATTCGTCCGATCGTATTTGGGACGTTAATGTTGCAGTCCCGGGATGAGAGTGAGCATAACTGTCTTAAAGCTTTTGATCTTTAGATCTAAAAGTCTCCATAAGTGTTCGTTTTTGGTCTGTTGCAGATCTTACATTGTGCCTCTATATAAAACACTTTTTTTTCAAATGTATTTAATATGCATTAAATATTAGCCAGTTGGTGGTAAGCAAAAGCGATTAATGATCAATCAATCGTAATACTAATACAATAGACTGCCTCTTTTGATATTTTGTTACTTCTTAAGTCAAAATCAAAATCTCAAAGTGTCTATCACATCTTTTAAATTCAAAGTTTCTTTGTTTTACCCTTGTAAAGGAAATATGTGACGCAGCAAATTGCATGTATTATACTATCAAGCATGTGACATTTTTTCACTTTTTTCCAAAGAAAAGATATGGATAGACGCGTATAGGACAGCCAGGATATAGTAAAATGTTACAGAATTCGAAAGAGAAAAACAGCGTCCTGATATGAGCGTATCAAGGTAAAAGAAAAAAAAATAAGTCTTTTACACCAACATACGGCAGCCATTATACAATACGATACGGAGTTTGGACGTAAACAAAGTGATAAGTCTGTTATTCAGAGATTGTGGTCGGTTGCTCTCTGTGATATTTGTTTTTCGTTTACTGTTGATTTATAAAACAGGATTTTGGTTTTCTCGTATGAACTGCTTAACATGTTGTCATTGAGGATTTTTTTATAGCTTAACTTATAGTTAGGATTTTGCTCATTGTTGAAGGCCATAGGTTGATCAATGGTTGTTTACATCCACAGTATTTGATCTCTGGTTGATAGTTGTCTAAATGGCTATTATATCACATCTTCTTTTTATACATAAAGAATATTAGGGAGTTAAACATGTTTGAAGCGCTCAATTCTCCCTTATCTTGAGATTGTCGTGTAAGAAATCAAGGTAAGCACAGAATGTATCATACAGCAAAATGGACTCGACTCATCAGGTCGGCACGGTACATACAAAATGACTAAACAAAACCTATAACACAAAGAATACTTGCAGTTACTAGAAGCTATTTCAAAGCCTAATTTCTTCTTATGAGAAGACATATTGCATATGAGCACAAGGATAATTCTTACACAAATGTTGTGTATAGGATATATTCTTATAATATTTAAATATACGGTTTTTTTTTTTAATACATTTATAAAAATTATATTCAAAATTCAAATGGATATACAGTTATCAAAGGTGTGTTCGAGCCTTAATTTTAGAGTCGGGACTAAAGCGTACACATGTATGCAGAACATCTCTTTTATCCCGATTAAGTTTAATCTAGAACGCATAATATGATATACATCAACAATGATATCAGAGTCTATCAGCTTTTCTTACAAAAACATTTTTTTAAGAAATGGACGAAACTTTTTGTTCAACATAACATACAGAATTGGATTAATAATAGTTGATAGTTTTGCAAACAACACTGCAACTAAAGTCAATCTTACAGGCACTTCTCCTTCACAACCGTACGCTGTCCATAGACTGACCACTGCATATGGACACCAAAGTCCAACAAATCCAACACACATTGAAAATGTCATCTGTAGAAAAAACATATATTGTAATTATTTGAAACAAAGTGAATATCTGTAATATAGTTATAGACGAGAATTTGTAGTCAGAATAAAGTTGATATCAAATGTCACATCATGATATATCTCATTCTTTTTGAATGTATAAATACGCAGTCGTGTCAGGTCGGACTGGGGACGTTAAATACAATGTCTTATGTAGGATAAGTACCACGCTCTCTGTCTGTTGAAGCGGCCAGAGGCAACAATTCTCTGAGGGGTCCGTAACTGGTTTGCTACAAGGCCAAATATCAACCCCTATCCAACATACCCTCAAATGAGTAAACTATTTGCCTCGGGAGGTTAAACATGCAACAGTCAATCAATCTTTCATTCTGTTTGAATATTGTCGTCACTATTTTAAAAATATTCTGCTACAATCAGAGAGAAAGTGAATGAAAAAAGGGGGGTACATTGCATATTATAGGGAAGCACTTTGACTATCTGCAACAATGATGCTTGAAGATTAATTCTTCCTGAAAAAGTGTATTTTCTGTATCATTAACTTACGAAAACATATATTGCACTATTTATTTCCCTTTTCACAATTAAACCACAAACATTTAAATGTAAAGTAAGCATTGTACAAGGTCTGTGTTTATTTACATCAATATGACATGTAATTGGATATCCTGCATTTATCATGCTTTTCCTTAAACATAGATCAAAATTGCTAAAAGACCCCCTCCTAAATTATTGAAATTTATCCTTTTGCATTGACCTAAATTTCAACAATCGGGCTTACGCACTCGTGAGTTTATCTAATACATTATCATGATATTTATTTGTTTCTCTTTTTGTTTTATCTTTATTCTATTATCACACCTTAATAAAAAATGCATCTCTCTTCTTCAAAGTGGGTCCAGATTTTCTAGTTCCGACACTTGCTTTCCGTCGAGCCTTTTTTGTTGTCCATATTATCTTCCCGTATGATAAATTCATTATGACAACAGGTAAAAGTACACAGCCTATTAAGAAAAATGTAACAAATATTGGATAACCTTGCCATGCAAGTGTACATGACGTTCCATAAGGTTCAGGTCCATATGCGCCGACGCCAAATAATGGTAGAAGAGCCCAAAAACCAGCATAGCAATATATACAAATAAGTGAAGCTTTCGTGTGCAGAAGGATTGAATCACCTAAAATATAAATGTAATATATATTAGGACATGAAAACGATATTAAATCAGTATGACTACTTAATACAAATATGCTTATCAATGATCTAGTAGTGCTTCTTTCGTTGACTGTCAGAGAACTGGGCCTTCTTTTACTTTAGTGGTCCCAACACATATAGAGCTATACTAAACTATCCTTTACCCTAACACTAGTTATAACCCTCAAATTTAATCCGTTCCTATAACATCCCATAACCTAACCAAAAGCATAAATAAACTCTAACCCTAAAGTAAAGGGACCCCAAAAATAAAAATAGGCCGACAATTGGCCGTTTCTAAATCTAAATAAATTTGAATTATCTCATTAATTGTACGCACACATGGAATTTATTTCACGTCATTGGTCGAATGGACATTGTTTAGACTGCTTCAAACTAATCATAACATTTTCGTGTGAGGGAAACGTTAACAAGACAACAAACGAAATGTCGCATGTGGAGAAGGATCTGTTACGCTTCGAGACACATGCTAGCACCCCCGGTTTTTGTAGTCCGATATTACTCTGACGTCCAACGGCTGTTTTGCCAGACAAGCTGGGGCCGTGGGACGTCAGAGCTCGTCCCATACCAAAAAGTGGATATTTGCCCGACCAAAATAGATGCGCTGCTTCGTTGCTTCTGGAGTCGACTGATGGCCTTGGAATTATATAAATCGGGCATCAATTTGTTCATTTTTTATTTATCTCTTCATTTATGTAAGTTTAATGTACCTGCCACCGATTATTTTCTCATATTTGAACAGTTTTCACAGTGACCCATCGATTCCGGCATTTTAACTTTCATTTTGAAAGATTGTCAAGTGATCAACGAAAGGCGCAATGGATTATGGGAGCTGATTTATGCAAATGACCCTGGGTCAGTATGAATACATAATCTAACACCTCGTCTTTTTACGATGCACATAAGCTTAATGTCCGAGGTATTCCGATTGTTATCATGGTTGCCTACTAAATGTTCAATATCAAAATTAGCATAAATATTTGCATACTTCAGTCTCGAGGCCGTGAAGTCTCTCGTAACTTGACGTCCATTTGAAAATAAAAGTTAAAGCAAATATCCAACTTTTGATATGGGATGAGCTCTGACGTCCAACGGCCCCAGCTTGTCTGGCAAAACAGCCGTTTGACGTCAGAGTAATCTCGGACTACGGTTTTTGGTGGAGTTCGTGTTGCTCAGTCTTTTGTTTTCCTATGTTGTGTTTTATATAACTGTTGTTTGTCTTTTAGTCTTTATTTCGTATTTTGCCATGGCATTGTCAGTTTATTTTCGATTTATGAGTTTGAATATCCCTTTGATGTCTTTCGCTTATCCTTAACATAATCAAACGAGACATTTAGAGAGCAGCATACATATTTAGACCAACATACAGTTATTAACTATGAACAGGTGTATATTTAATATGTGAAGCTTTTAAGGGACTTATCAGTTTTTACCTGGGAAAGGGGGAGGGGGCTGGTCATTTTGAAATCAAACATATAAAATTTCTTGGTCCCCCTATAATATTTCTCTATTTTTATTTTACCCATCACCCTTAAACACATTTAAAAAAAACATGTGATCCCCCTCTATCAAACATGCCAAAATTTTAACATGCAAAACACTTACCTTGGACACACATGGTATGTAGGATATAGTTGAAGATTCAAAAGTTCAAAAATGTTTCATTAGAGATAAAATTGATCCCCCACTTTGAATTTATAAAAAAAATTGAACTCCCATTTTCCACCTACAGAAAAAAAAAAACTTGACCCCCCTACAATTTGACCAGCCCCCTCCCCCTCTCCCCTTCCAAGGTAAAAAATGATAAGTCTCTAAATCTTCCCGAGTTTTAAAAAAAAATTGTACAAATTAAACAGTTACTACAAAAAATATGCAATCAATACTAAATTCTTCAAATGTTAAGCTTTTAAAAATACTATCATATTTTGAAACGGTGAATAATAAACATTATAATAAAATTGGGACTTGTCTATAAAAAATCGACTTGAAAAAGCATAAGATCTTAACACAATTAACGTAAAAAAACATTACAATTTAAGTAGGTAAAAACAATGATAAGAGAACGAAAATAAATGAATATCTTTATAAGGTAGCAAAACAAAATGGAAAAGGAGGGAAAATAAAAAAATGTTAATTTGATTAATTTAGTTTACATGACCGTGTATGGGAAATTAGCCAAATCTCTTTTCCAAACAAAATGAAATCATACAAAAAAAAAAAAAAAAATGAAAATGCATGATAACCACTTCAATGACTGCGTTCCGATGTGATGTAACAACTTACCACGTTTAACTCCACACACTTTGATGTATCGTGCATAGCTAATAACAGCCAGGGTTGCTATGCTAACAACTCCACAGAAAAAACAAATGAAGCCATATGCGGCACAAACTGAAACACAAAACAAAAATAGGTATTAAGACAAGTCATGTTAAGGATTAATTAGCAATTACGTAGGGTTAATTTTACCTTTTCGAAATGAGTGAAAACATAACATTTTCAACTAATTGATTGAAACTCCCTTTTTTTCTTTGCGCAAACCTAAGTACAAATTCACATGTACACAACGTGTATTCAGCACCACATTTAAATAGGAATTTATGGATACATATAGTTGGAAATGACACGAAAATCAGAAATGTCATTAATGTGCCTCGGGCAACACTAACGCGGAATCTAAATGTTTAAAATCTTATAGCAAATTGTGGTTAGAAATTTATTGTTTATCTCAAATTAGTTAGATCACTGTTAATAAAATAATTGATTTTGATAAAAATAAAAACTTAAGAAAATTACTTTTATTAAAGACCTATGAAATCACCCATATACACATTGCTCGTATCACTTACTTAGTATAGATAGGACCAACAGTTTCCCTACTTAGGCATTCTTAAAAAAACCATGTAAAATCGGAAACAAAGTAGTTAGTTTGAAAATTACCCGTTTCAGAATCTATTGCATTCTTGGTAAATGTTTCAAAAGCGTACACCAAAGCGCTGTGATGGGCTATCAACGTCCCAAATAATTGAAAATCAACCAATGACGTGGCGTGGTTTTCATTCTTTAAACACTTTAAACACACTTGGCTATATCATATTGCGACCAACTGTTTATTGGCGGAGAAAGCCGGAGTAGACAGAGAGAACCACAGACCTTCGACCGGAAAACTAGCAATCCTAGCAAAAGAAAAGATTGTTGTCGAACACACTTCGCTTTTGAGGGATTCGAGCTCGCAATCTCAGTTTTGCCAGGCTATTGGGGTCTCTGTAAATGAACTGCATAGACCACTCGATCACCAAGGTCCTTAATTACCAAAATGTGGTTATACATGTAACCACATTCAATTTATTCTTAATCCTAAGCTAGACAATCTATTACTCATATGCATACTTACAAACTTTGTCGAACATCCATTGGTGATTTAAAGATGAATATATTGTCAATGGAAAACCAAAAACTGGCATGATCATATCGATGATTGCGAGATTCAATATGTAAACATCACAGGAAACTAATGTTTTTACTTTTCGAATACATACATACACAACCAGACCATTTAGTACTGTAGATGCAACACCTGAAAATAGAAGCGTTATTTTAACATTACAATGTATTAATATCGTCACTGTCCTACTTTTTCACTATTTTATGTTCAATTATAGATTGTTTGATATGCTTCCTTTCACAATCACTATAAACATTAAAATTGTTTTTTCCATGTAAAATGTCTGTGCAAAATAACACTACGTACTGCTCAACCTAACACTTTTAGCATGAAATAGAGGCGAATGATACCAAAGGGACACTCAAGCTCATAAGTCAAAAATAAACTGACAACGCCATGGCCAAAAAAGAAAAAGACCAAAAAAACAAACAACAGTATACAAAACACAACATGGAAAACTGAAGACTGAGCAACACGAATCCCACAAAAAACCAGGGGTGATCTCAAGTGCTCCGGAAGGGTAAGCAGATCCTGCTCCACATGTGGTACCTGTCGTGTTGCTTGTGTAAGTACAAACTCGGTTATAAGTCTAACTCGGTAGGTCACATTCGTGGAAAAGGAGTTCGGTGTTGCGGTTATGAAGATTAGAATATAACTGTCGTCATCTGTAAAACAGATATTCCATAACGGTCAACCTATTTGCCATGGCGTTCGTATATTTCTTGAAGGGACGATTTCAACTTCACAACATTGACCTCTGTTAGATATGCATATGTATATACGCTTTACGTTTGATGTAATATATTTTATATAATGTTTTCACAAGTGTACACCGAAACCTAATATTGGAACAACATTCTTTTGTTACATTGTATGCATACCAATAATTAAATTTCCTTGAATCTCTTTAAATAACTTAGAGATTCCGATACGGTTAATTCTCGGCTGATTTTTTGCATTATCATCTCATATTATAATTCAACAAACTAAGATCATATATCCACTCTTTCTTTGCAAGGATCTGACAGCAGCACTGCGTTCTACTTTCTGTTCTTGAAATAATTTCATCAGTCATAGCTTTTTCTAACTCTGATATTTCATTAGACAAAACTAGAGGCTTTCGAAGGGTCTTTATAACGGAAAGTAGAAGTAGAACAGAGCATTTTCAAACACACCTTCAGAAATTCGGAGATTCCTAGAACAGATAGAAGAACGACGTGCTGTGGGATCCTTGTAAGCAAAGCATGAATCTGTATTTCTAGCAGATTAATATTTCTTTCAAATACAACATCATTCTTTGTTAATATTTTGGTTTTTTTTTTTCTCTCTCGTGTATCATAAAGGCGGCAGGATATCGTTCAACTAATCTAAGGAACCAGTAGGAAGAAAAATGACAAGAAAATCAAAAGTCAACAAAGTAGAAAAAATCTAAAGACTTAGCAATCCGAACCAAAGTCAGGTTTGAAATCAAGTGCTCTGGAAGAATAAGCAGTTCCTGCTCAAACATTGGTACCCGTCGTGTTATTGGTCAATACAAAGTCGGTGTGCCTTTTTAATGATGCAAATTTCGCATTCTGTGATTCATTGTGTTTGGATTCGATTTTAGAACGGACATTGCAGAAAAAAATCGACGGTAACAGGGACTATGTTAATTGTTGATTTATCTTAAGTGTAGTTAAGTGACGCGTTTCAAATCCCCCTTGGAAAAAAAGCAAATATAGGTGGTTTTGTTGTTGCTTTATTGAGTAAGATTTTAAACGTTTTTTCATTTAAATTTACTAGCAAAAAAGATACCAAACATTAGTTTGAACTGAAATTTATCATAAAATCTAATAATAGAAAAATCTGTTAAATACTTTCATTTGCAAAGGAGTGCATGTGATTCCAAAAACCTACCCAAATCGGAGAGTGAGAAAAACCCGTGTTTAATGACTAAGAAAGCGGCGCCCTATTCGAAGATGATAATTTAGTTTCCAAATTTCTGCGAAGGAATTCAAAGATTAATTCAAACCATGTTATGATATCAAGTAGTTTTAAGTTCAATTGACGTTTTTTTGCAATTTTTGGTGAACATTGTTTAAAAAAATTAAAATCATCCCAGTTGTTTTATTTTTCAGTTTTGATTTTCTCATTTTGCTTTATTAAGCTGAAGTTGAATAAATGCATCCAATATGCAAATTATATTTGAAAAATCTATAAAGATGTGATTTGATATGATTTTTGGTGTTTTAACGCCACTTTTAAGCACCGCTTTTGGGCTATTTCGTGGCGGCCAGTTTTTATTGGTGGAGGAAGCCGGAGTGCCCGGAGAAAACCACCGACCTTCGATAGGAAAACTGACAATCCTAGTAAAGTAAGATTGGAGTCGAGTGCAGCCGCACGAGCGGGGTTCGAACTCACAACCTCAGTGTTGACTGGCTAGTGATTAAATAGTAACTACTTAGACCACTCGGCCACCGAGGACCCTCTATAAATATATGTTCTTACATTGTTAATTATGTCAAATTACTTGTCAGAATTCCCCTTTTTTCCCCGATATTTTCCGTGAAAAAAAAATCATAACAATAGACAATAATATATGCATTTCTGAAACTGCTATGTATTTATTTTTTGAAGCGACAAAAGTTTACTTACCAACAGTAAGGAGAAATATTGCTACAATGAAATCTTGCCAAATATCTAATTTCGACAAGAAAGATGTGTTCACTTTCAGCAATGTGTTGTTTTCGTATAGAAAATTTTCGTCAAACGTACAATTAGCTTCGTTTTTACAAATAAGCCATTTTTTAATTAATTCCTTTTCCATAATTCATAAATATAAGACTGGTTAAAAATTTTCACAAATCTTGTGATTTTTTAGCATCCATGTCTCTATTGTTATGTATGTTCGAGAGAAATCAACAATTGGTTTTATATTTTGTTGACATGACGTATTAAACAATAATCATTGATTTAAAAATTCTATACAAAATGGCTCCCTACGCATCTTACGTATGACATTAATATTTCAGATGAAGATCAAATGGGCACTTAATGGTCTTTTACGAATAGTGTCAATGACTGATTATTTAACTGTCTCGCGATGTACTAACTCGACTAGTGCGTGATCAAGAGTAGCAGTTAGAACTGTTCATTTGCCTAGACATAACCATAAGAAGATACCCACGTGGTAGTAATGTCATGTGATTACATTCCATAAGATACCAAATGACGTAGATGTAAATAACTATGGGTCACCGTACGGCCTTCAACAATGGTGAAAACCCATACCGTCGACTTTGCTATAAATTGCTTCAACATAATCATTCAAATTTAAAACCAATTAAAACGAGAACGGCCTGATAGATATATATATATATATATATTAAACAAGTCCGCTCGACTAATCTTCTAATTTCGGTTTCATGTTTAATCGACGGACTTGAAGTTCAAATATCGTCTTTTTTGCAATTGTGTGTATAAAGTGTGGGAAAAAAAGTTGAAATTGTCTCTTATGTTGTTTTATTTTTTTTTTCCTTTTGCTGAAGATTAAATGGTCACTTTATGGACTTTTGTGAATATTGTAAGTGACTGATAAGTTAACGCTCTCAAGGTGCACTAACTCGACTATAACTTGATCAGGAGTAGCAGTTAGGACTGTTTATTTGACTAGATATACGAATAAAAAGATGTTCACGTGGTATTAATGTCATGTGATTACATTCCATAAGATACCAAATGACGTAGATAAAAGTTACTATGAGTCACCGTTGATCATTCAACAATGAGAAAGACCCACTTAGCTATAAAATGCTCCATCATAACAAATTTGAATTTAAAACTCATTCAAACGAGAACGGGCTTATATATATATATATGGACAAGGTAAAATTTGCAGTTGTCACTACACATAGGCAGACATATACATATATTGATTTACAGTGATTGTATGCTTCTAAAAATAGATTAGCATCCTGTAATTATACTGAAGAGATGAGTAGATGATCATTTCTGTACACTAAAAGAATACTTCGTGTATTGTATCAGATATCCTTGTTTAATTCCTACGAGAAGGTAACACCTCCCGAAACGAAAGCTGATTTTTATCAGCTATAGTTAGAGGAGGGGATAAGGTGTCTGCGCAATGCTAGGCGGTGTTGTCGTAGAAGTTAGAAATAAAAAGTACAGGTTCCAGCCCCGCTAGGGGAGGAAGTAAAGAAACATCTACTCTAACATCGTTAGGTTGATTTTCTAGGCACTTTATATATATATATATATATATATATATTCGCCTTACGTGACAAGGTAACACTACGACTATTGAAGTTATATTTTTATATAGCGGATGTGGTCGTGTGGTCTAGAGCGCTGGACATGAGGCTAAGCGATTGGTGCTGTAGTGTATCAAAGGTGTGAGTTCGAATCCCGTTGAGGGACAAAAATTTGTCAGCATAAAAGTCTAATTCTAACACTGTTGGGTGTAATTTTCAGACTTATATATATATATATATATATATAAATAAAACAGTCCGTTCGACTAATCTTCTAATTTCAGTTTCATGTTTAATGGACGGACTCAAATATCGTTTTTTGCAATTGTGTGTGGAAAGTGTGTAAAAAAAAGTTGAAATCGTCTATTATGTCGTTTATTTTTTTTTCATTTTGCTGAAGATCAAAATATTTTTAATGGTCACTTTATGGCCTTTTATTAATATTTGTTAACAGTCTCATGATGCACGAACCAGACTAGAACGTGATTAGGAGTAGCCGTTAGGACTATTCATTTTCCTAGATATATATAAAAATAAGAAGATGTTTACGTGGTATTAATGCAAATGTGATAAAAATCCATCAGAGACTAAATGACGTAGATATAAGTAACTATGGGCCATCGTACACCTTAAAACATTGGGGAAATGTCGAATAATTTAGTGTTTTTTTTTCTCCATTTTGCTGAAGATCAAATGGTCACTTTATTGACTTTAATGCATATTTTCAATAATTGATAAGTTAACAGTCTCAAGGTGCACTAACTCGACTATAACTTGACCAGGAGTAGCAGTTAGGACTGTTTATTTGCCTGGAAATAAACATAAGAAGATGTGCACGTGGTATGAATGCCATGTGATTATATTCCATAATATACCAAATGACGTAGATGCAAGTAAATAAGGGCCATAGTACATCTTTCAACAATTAGGAAAACCTATAACGTCTAATTAGCTATAAAAGGATCCAACATGAAAAAAATGAACCAATTCAAACGAGAACGGTCTGACAGATGCATATTAAACAAGACCGCTCGACTAATGTACTAATGTCGGGTTCATGTATAATCGACGGACTTGAAGATAAAGTTTCGGTTTTTGGCAATTTTGTGTGGAAATTGTGTAAAACAAAGTTGAAATCGTCTCTTCTTTTTCATTTTGCTGAAGATCAAATAAATAATGATCACTTTCATGAATATTACCAATGACTGATAAGTTAACAGTCGCATGATGTACTAACTCGACTAGAACGTGATCAGGAGTAGCAGTTGAACTGTTCATTTGCCTAGATATAAAAATAAAAAGATGTGCACGTGGATTATGCCAATATCATAACAATCAATCAGAGACCGTACGACCTTCAACAATGGGAAGTCCTATACCGTCTGCAAGGCTATAAAATGCTCCAACATGACAAATTGAAATTTAAAACTAATTCAAACGAGATCGGCCTGAAAGATGTATACTAATCTTGTCTACTCGACTAGTCTTCTTATGTTGGGTTTATGTTTTATCGACGAACTTGACTAATTGGTTAACAGTAACACACACATCGATATGCATCTAAACAAAATCGGTCAATTTTCAAATCTATCAATTTAACACTTGAGAAATATCTTTGAATATCATCTGTGTTGGTACTATAAAAATAAGGAGATGTAGTATGTTTGCCAATGAGACAACTATCCACCCAAGTTCAAATAAAGTGGATGTAAGCAATTATAGGCAACCGTACAACCGTTAACAATGAGAAAAACCCATACCGTATAGTCGACTATAAAATGCCCCGACATGAAAAATACGAAACAATTCTAATGAGAAAACTAACGGCCTAATTTATAACAAAACAATTTACAAAACAATTTACGAAAAACAAATATCCTTAGTAGCTGTATTTTATGTTGTGTGTCGATCTAATTGATAAAACCAATCACAGGTTAGTAAAATATGTAAGCGCGCACAACAACTATTACATGCCACATTCTTTATAAGCATGTCCGTAGTCAGCAGCATGTATTTCAGGGGTTGTCGTTCTTTGCTGTCTTTTTTATTTGTCATATTAGTTTTGCATTCATTGCTTTTGCATACATCGCGATCGGCTTGAAGGTTTTCTAGTTTGACAATTTGAGATGTTAGGGTCTTACATAGCAACTATATATACGTCATGTGTTTTGGTCATTGTTGAACGCAATACAGTGCAAAGTACAAAAAGGTAAAATAACAAAAATACCGAACTCTAAGGAAAATTCAAAACGGAAAGTCCCTTATCAAATGGCAAAATAAAAATATCAAACAAAAACTAACACACATACACGTCCTTTGTCTTTGGTAGGTGCCTCGGTGGCCGAGTGGTCTAAGTAGTTACTACTGTAATCACTAGCCAGTCAACACTGAGGTTGTGAGTTCGAACCCTGCTCCTGCGGGTGCACTCGACTCCAATCTTAAATGACTAGGATTGTCAGTTTTTCTATAGAAGGTCCGTGGTTTTCTCCGGGCACTCCGGCTTCCTCCACCAATAAAAATTGGCCACCACGAAATAGCCCAAGAGTGGTGCTTAAAAGTGGAGTTAAAACACCAAAAATCAATCTATCTTTGGTAGATAGTTGTCTGTTTGGTAATTATTTGCCACATACTTTTTTTGTTTTACTAGTAAGTGGTTTTTTTTTATCTGTTTTCATAATTTTTTCCCGAAATTAATTCCAATAATTAAGATTAAATAGATGGAGATCTAAAGTTAAAATCTAAATAAAGTAGTTTACGCGCCAGTTCCAAACTGAGAGTCTCGCCAGTGATCATCTTTTATAGTTTTTAAAATTGGGTTGTCATTGCGCCGATTTGGTATGAAGGGCTTAGTTACACCAAGATGTTATAGCGGGTTGAAGTACGTTCACTATTCACTTTTTACTATTCAAAATTCATGAATAGTGAACCGGTTTTTTCACTATTCACTATTCAAGTTTATTCAAATTGACTAACTTTAATATCTCTTTATGTTGTTGTATATAATAATTTGTTTAATTCGATAGCAAGATTTTCAAATTCTGTAAGCTAAAATTGCCATTTTCAAATTAACGTATACAGATGGTATAATAGTGTAAATTTAAGGTTCTTCGGGACATGATAATTTGGCCTTCCCCCATTTTCCCGAAATTGTATATATTGCCCGGTAGATGTTATTGCATGTAATTGGTTATCCTGCATTTATTTAATATGCTTAACCAGGAACTAGAATCATCTTGCTGAAAGACATTCGTCCTCAATTATTTTAATATATACTTTTGCATTAACCATAATGCTATGGTGTGAAATATATGCACCTCGTCGATGTATCTAACACATACAATCATACTCAGAAGCGGATGTAGGAATCTCGTCAATGAGACAGCAAACCAACGACACAACAACAAAAAGACTTATTTTGATCATTGTTGAAGGCAATGACATATAGCATATAACATCCACGTCCTTTCGTCTATTGTGAATATTTGTCTTGAAATTATACCTTAACAACAGTTTGTTATATTTTCTTAATTATGCGGATAATTTTCTGTTTGCTTGA